CCAAGATTCCCTTGCTGAGTCCTAAGCCCTTCTTCGGCGACAAGAAGAAGGACACCTGGACACCTGGGTGAGGACTGTGCCTACCAATGTCAGGGACAAGCTCACAAGACGAGAGCAGGAAGTTATAGCCGCTGCCTCCTTTTTAGAGGGATCGGCAACACGGTGGTTAAACGGGTAAGTGCAGCACCAGGGCTATGGTCAGAACTTCGATGCCTAGGCTCAGGCTCAGACATTGGAAGACTTTGTACGGACCGTGTACAATAGGTGGCATGACCCTCAAGGGGCTCAAAAGGCCCCTGACGCGATCAACAATCTTTGTGCCAAAGGTACTAGACTGTACGCGAGGTCACAAACGCCGTAGAACGTCTGATCGTAGTACCTAGTGTGCGTTATGACCCACAGGTACTCCTCACAGACTAATTGAGATGTCTGCCCACAGACGTCAACAATAAGTTGGTAGACGAGGAGTATATCGACCAACATAGCTTCGCTCCTTTCAGCAAGAAAGCCTTAGACATAGAGGCTAAGCTTGGGTCCGCGCATCAGGGTCAGACAGATGGTAGGAAAAAGAGACTTCCTCAAGGCTGGGGGAAGAAAGGTCAACTCATGTTTGTCGACCATGATGGTCAGGCAACTGAGATTGGCGACTTCGCAGACTTAGGGGATGAGACAGAATAGGACGGGGCCAGCAAGACTTCGGATGGGGGAGCCGTGGCACCCATCAAAGAGAAAGGGGGATTGAGCAAGAGACGGTAGGTTGGTCCAAGGGTCAGGGCGACCAAGGACACCCGCTTGGGTAAAACTTGGTTTAGATTATGAGGTGTGGCGAGACCGAGTTGCTAGGGGCACGTGTATGAACTGTGGCAACTATGGCCACACTTCTCGGACGTGCCGAGTCAAAAAGGTCACCACGAATGTAGCCTCTCCAACAATGGTGGGCTTATCTTCGAACCTTGGCAGTGCATATGCGAGCACTTCGCAGGGAAACACCTCGAGCCAGTGGGAGTGTTAGCCGCTCTTACTCGTGTTGAAGTGGTAACGAAGGGTAGTGACCAATCCATCGCCCCACAGACACATTCAGACCCACCGACGCTCTGTTCGAGAGATGTGTCTGATTCCCTAGAAGAGTTACAGACTGAGTGGTCAGGAAAGGACCCCAGAGACTTCTGGGCGATGATAAGTAAAGATCCTAGGGGTGAACATTTCGTGGTAGAGGTTGATGTAGGTGGCCGCAAAGTGGGTGCCTTCGTAGACATAGGCTCTACACGAAACTTCATCAGTCGTGCTTGTGTGGATAGGTTGCGCTTAGGGGACCAAGTGCAGCGGCTTAGCGGATCTGTAGCATCTTACTAACAAGCACCGCATGATTGTCCAAGACTATGTCAAGGATGTAATCTGCACCTTCTCCTATGAAGGAGGGAAAGTGAGACATAAAGTCTCATTCCTTGTCAGCAACGAACTGCCATTTGACATGCTGCTAGGTATGTACTGCCTCGAGGTCGCTCAACCTCAGTTTGATTGGGATAGAAAGGTGTTGATAAACAAGCTGCCACATGGTAGAACCGTTAGACTGCAAAAGTTCAAAGCTACCAGTCTAGTGGAAAACTATGGCTGCATGTGTGTCGCCTCTTTCTATAACTACTATAAGTAGAATCGCGAGGAGGGCATGTATCTAGTCTTTATCTCTGAGAAAGGGTAGGCCGTAAAATCACCCCAAGAGATAGAATCAGTCATCGCCCAGTATTCCGACCTTTCTGAGGAGCCCACAAGTGTGGTGGAAAGGGAGGTTGTCCATGCAATAGAGGTTGTCCCGGTAGTAAGGTATCTAGAGGACGAATCTATAGGATATCTCCTGCGGAGTTGGATGAGCTCCGCCGCCAGCTCAAGGAGCTCACAGAGAAGGGATGGATTCGGCCTAGTACCTCCCCTTACGGTGCGCCCGTATTATTTGTTCCTAAGAAGGGAGGTGCCCTAAGGATGTGCATTGAATAGGGGCGTGAATCCCATCACCGTAAAGAATGCAGAGCCCCTACTCCGCATCGACGACCTATTGGATAGAGTGCAGGGATGCCGATACTTCACAAAGATAGATTTTAAGTCTGGATACCATCAAATTGCTATTAGACCTGAGGACCTGCACAAAACCGCCTTTCATACCGGATACGGTCTGTACGAGTTTGTGGTGATACCCTTTGGCTTATGCAATCCCCTGGAACATTCCAACACGCAATGAATAACATTTTTCATGATTACTTGACAAGTTTATCGTCGTGTACCTTGACGATATACTTTTAGTAAGACTGTAGAGGAGCACGTCGAGCACTTGAAAACAGTGTTAGGTCTCCTAAGGCAACATCAGTACAAGGTAAACTTGGAGAAATGCGTGTTCGGTCGCACCAAGATCTTGTACTTGAGGCCGGACGATGCTAAAGTGGCCAGCATACGAGTTTGGTCGTAAACTTGGAGAAATGTGAGTTCGGTCGCACCAAGATCTTGTACTTGGGTCATGAAATCTCCGCGGATGGGTTGAGGCCGGATGATGCTAAAGTGGCCAGCATACGAGTTCGGTCGTAAACTTGGAGAAATGTGAGTTCAGTCACACCAAGATCTTGTACTTGGGTCATGAAATCTTTGTGGATGGGTTGAGGCCGGACGATGCTAAAGTGGCCAGCACATGAGACTGGCCCAGACCTCATACTGTTACTGAGCTCCGGTCATTTTTCGGGTGATGGGCTATTACCGTCCGTTTGTTAAGAACTATAGTACGATAGCTTCCCCACTAACTAACCTTACTCGCCTTGACACCCCTTGGGAGTGGATTGAAGAGTGTGAAGCAAGCTTCAAGAAATTGAAGTATGCTTTGACACACTACGAAGTCCTCAAACTTGTAGTGACCACATACGCAGCCAATATGGCATAGGCGCCTGTGGACCCTGAGCAGCCATTTGTAGTGACCACAGACGCCAGCCAATATGGCATAGGCGCGGTCCTTGCACAAAGGGAAGGGAAAAAATTGAGGCCAATCGAATACATGAGCAAAAAAATGCCATCCCAAAAGCTAGCAAAGTCCAGGTATGACCGTGAGCTATATGCCCTACATAGAGCGCTGGTCCACTAGAGACACTATCTCCTAGGCATATTCTTCTACTTAAGGTCCGACTATGAGACTTTGCGTTGGATCAAGACACAACGTGTACTCTCTGACGCACTCAAACGATCGATTCAAGTGATAGACATGTATGACTATCAACTTGATCCAATCAAGGGAGAGTATAACAAGGTGGTTGATGCACTATCGCACAAGGCAGATTATCTGGGCGCGCTAGTCACTGAATTTGGCATATGTGACGATCTAACTCGATCTTTGGTGGAGGCCTATCAGTGAGATCCAGTTATGTCTGAGATCATTCGTAAATTTCAAGAGAAGGATAAATTAACTTCTGACGAATTTATGATGGTAGATGGCTTACTGTTTCTTGAGAAGGCAGGGAATAAACGGTTGTGTGTCCCAGATAGAGAGTCCTTACGTAGTTTGTTTTTAGGAGAATGTCATGATGCAACTTGTCATTTCGGATATAAAAAGACATCAGCTAACCTAGTGCAAAGATTTTGGTGGCCCACTATGATGCAAGATGCGAAAAAGTACGTTGAAACCTGCCAGGTTTGCCAACGGGACAAACCTAGGACTCAGGCTCTGTTTGGGCTTCTCAAGCCCTTGCCGATTCCTGAAGGTCCTGGCCAGAGTGTGTCCATGGACTTCATGGATACCCTTGTGACCAGCAGGACAGGCAAGAGACACATCTTTGTTATAGTCGACCGCTTTTCCAAGTATGCAAGACTTATCGCTATGCCAGAGACTGCTAAAACTGATTACGTCATCAAACTGTTTCTGGAAAATTGGGTACGCGATTTTGGACTCCCTACGTCTATAGTGAGTGACAGGGATGTAAGATTTACAAGCGAACTGTGACAATCAACAGTTGAACAGATGGGCACAAAGCTGCAAATGACATCAGGGAATCACCCTGAGTCAAATGGCCAGGCAGAACAGATGAACAGAGTAGTACAGCACCTGCTTCGGCATTATATTAAGCCAAGTCAGGATGACTGGGACGAGAAGTTACCTCTCGTGGCCAGTCTGTACAACAATGGTGTGCACAGTGCTACTGGTATGACTCCCAACCAAGAATTGCATCTTGGTTGGAAGCCCAGAACTGCACTTGATTTCTTCTACCCGAAAGACAGACCACTGCAGCACCTGGCAGCATAGAGTTTGCTGTTAAGTATGAGCAGATGCTGCAGCAGGCTGTAGAACATATTCGAAAATCTCAGGATGCTATGGTCACATCTGAGAATAAGCATGGACGGCCCTCTATGCATTGGGCGACATCTTCAAGTACTTCGTGGGCTGCTGACGTCAACAGTTGCATTGTCAATTAGTAGGCAGATTGTAGCTGTGTAGGAAGTAGGCTGGGCGCCGAGCGCCAAGCAGGGAGAAGGGACTGGACTCTTATGTTGGTGGTGGCGAGAGCAAGCTCTCAGTGTTACAAATCTCCATTGGTGTTATATTGGTGCAATGCTTCTTTCTGGGCACTGAGATACTATCTGGCTTTCAATGTGATTGTGCATTCTGGATATTGTCATCTCGTTGTTGCTCATTTTCCTTACATAATGGCTGTACGGTGTACAATTTATTTGGGTAAAGACGGTAGGGCATCACTACCTTCCTGTCATTTTATCTGTACACGGGATACATGGCTATACTTGAACAGGTGATGATGTTGGGGCAATGGTGCAGTGCATGGTTGGGACTCTGTCCATTTCGCACCTGCCTGAGGCACAGATTGAAGCAAAACGACGTTCAAATGTTGGAAGTTGGAACTGCAAATTTTACACTCAGTTTTGTTTGTTCCAAATCTTGCACTCCACACTTTTTTCAAGTTTTTTGTGTAATCCTCGTCATGCTTTTGTTGTTTGTTATGTAATTGATATGTATTCAGGCTGCAGTGATTGTGGAGCTACCACATGTTGCACTCCGATGGTGTCCAAGAATACCCACAGTAGAGCACATGGTGAGTTGACAGAGTTGTCATTCATGTCCAGGTTGCAGTGATTGACATGGATTCAGGCTGCGGTGACAGCAGAAGGGGTCTAAAAGACAGAAAACCTCAGCTTGCAGATTTGCCTACATTCTTTTTTTTCTTCCCCTGGATTGCCTGACTGCTTTTTTCTGTTTTGTTTCCCTTTCCTTCCATGACCTTCTGTTTTTCTTTAAATAGGGCTACTGCAAGGAAAAATGAGCGATAGCGGATTCCAGAAACCAAGCAGCATCATACACATGAAACCAGATAGTCTTGACCTCGAACCAAAAGCAGAATTGCAACTTGAGTTCCACCGCCAAATAAGAGCACAGCAAAAGCTCACAAGTGACAATGTTGGAATAGTCTCATCATCAACAACAATGAACCAATGTCGAATCCCTATCTGGCGCTCAGCGCCCAGACTACGAATGGCAGATCGTATCTAGCCTATCTACAATGCCGCTGGTGACGTCAACAGCTTCCCGAAGTACGAGCAGATCTTGGCCAATGCCGTTCGCCTCAAGCACCAGGTATGTCTCACACTTCACACACAACCCCGATCCCCCGCACAGATGCCACATGCACCCAAGAACCACCATGCGCCCCATCCAGCAACGCACAGGCCAGCTTGGCTATGGCTGCCTGCTTCTTCCCTGCTCGCCCGTGAGCACGTAGGCACTCGGTCCGGCAGCTGGCGCAGCAGCGAGTGCCCGAATGCCAAATGAGGAGGCAGGCACTTTCCTTTATAAAAGTGGCCTGCCTGCTGCGTGCTGCCTGGCTGCGCTGGGCCCCTGTCCAGAAGTTTTCGGTAGGCCCCAAGTGCTTGAGGCCAGAGTATTCCGCAGGGCCCAGGGTGGTTATGCGTGTCCAACTGCCAAGCGTGCTGCGTGCAGTTTGTGCCCCGTGTCTGTCCCAGGGCCTGTGCCCAAAAACATAGGAAGGGCCTAGAAACCCTTGACCAGATATTGTTGCCCACGACCTGGGTTCATTTAACCAACTGACGCAGCATAACTGTCTGAGCCCCACTTTGCAAAGAAGAACGAAATAGGCCTCATGTGATTTTACAGGGCCGCCTTCACTTAGGGCGGCCATCCTTGCTGAGAGGCCCAGGATGCTCAGGGTGGGCTGTGGCCTCGCATTCCCTCCTCCATACTTCGACAGTCCTCTGAGAAGTTGGCAGTTCCTTCTCATAGTGGGCGACAACCTGTGGAGCGGTCTGCATCAGTTCCTCTCTTGTGAACCATCTGTCCTCCTTAGGATCCGTGTGATGTCTGAACCGAACGCGGTACCGTAGCTTCGGCTTTGGAGGATGGCCCTTGCCTGTTGGTCTTGGAACCAGCATTTCCCTGTGATCAACAATGTCGTCGATGTTGACCTCTCTATCCATGGCTGGGGGCAGCATAGACCGACGAGAGGAAAACTGATGCATGGCATCACCAACTGTGATAGGCTTATCTTCGAACCCTGGCAGTGCTTCTGTGAGCACTTCCGCATTATCTTTCTATAACTACTATAAGCAGAATCGCGAGGAGGGCGTGTATCTAGTCTTTGTCTCTGAAAAAGGGGAGGCCGGTTAAAACACCCCCAGAGATACACTCAGTCGTCGCACAATATTCCAACCTTTTTTAGGAGCCCACAGGCGTGGTAGAAAGGGAGGTTGTCCATGCAATTGAGGTTGTCCCAGGTAGTAAGGTGCCTAGAGGACAAATCTATAGGATATCTCCTGCGGAGTTGGATGAGCTCTGCCGCCAGCTCAAGCAGCTCACAGAGAAGAGATGGATTCGGCCTAGTACCTCCCCTTACGGTGCTCTAGTCTTATTCGTACTGAAGAAGGGAGGTACCCTGAGGATGTGCATTGGAGACAGGGGCCTCAATGCCATCACTGTTAAAAACGCAGAGCCCCTACCCCGCATCGACGACCTACTGGATAGAGTGCGGGGATGCCGATACTTTACTAAGATAAATCTAAAGTCCGGATACCATCAAATTGCTATTAGACCTGAGGATCAACACAAAACCGCATTTCAGACCAGGTACGGTCTGTACAAGTTTGTGGTGATGCCCTTCGGCCTATGCAATGCTCCTGGGACATTCCAACACGCAATGAACAGGATCTTTCATGATTACTTAGATAAGTTTATCATCGTGTACCTCGACGATATCCTCATCTTTAGTAAGACTGTAGAGGAGCACGCTGAGCACTTGAAAATAGTGCTAGGTCTCCTAAGACAGCACCCGTACAAGGTTAACTTGGAGAAATGCGAGTTTGGTCGCACCAAGATCTTGTACTTGGGTCATGAAATTTCAGCAGATGGGTTGAGGCCAGATGATGCAAAGGTGGCCATCATTCGTGACTGGCCCAGACCTCAGACTGTTACTGAGGTCAGATCGTTTTTTGGGATGACGGGCTATTATCGTCCGTTTGTGAAGAAGTGTAGTACTATAGCTTCCCCATTAACAGATCTAACTCGACTTGACACCCTTTGGGAATGGACAGAAGAGTGAGGCAGCCTTCAAGAAATTGAAGTATGCTCTAACACACTATGAAGTCCTCAAGCTCCCGGATCCTGATCAGCCCTTTGTCGTGACCACAGACGCCGACCAATATGGCATAGGCGCGGTCCTTGCGCAAAAGGAGGGGAAAAAGTTGAGACCTATCGAGTATATGAGTAAAAAGATGCCATCTCAAAAACTAGCCAGGTCCACTTATGAGCGTGAGCTCTATGCCCTGTATAGAGCGTTGGTACATTGGAGACACTATCTCCTTGGCAGATTCTTCTATGTGAGATCTGACCATGAGACCTTGCGCTTGATTAAGATGCAACCGGTACTCTCTGACGCACTCAAGCGATGGATTCAAGTGATAGACATGTATGACTATCAACTTGATCCAATCAAGGGAGAGTACAATAAGGTAGCTGATGCATTGTCACGTCGGGCAGATTACCTGGGCGCACTAGTAACTGAATTTGGCATATCTAACGACTTAACTCGATCGTTGGTGGAAGCCTATAAGCAAGATCCAGTTATGTCTGAGATCATCCGTAGATTCCAAGCAAAGGACAAAAAGACTTTGAACGAATTTACGATGGTAGACAGCTTACTGTTTCTTGAGAAAGCAGGGAATAAAAGGTTGTGTGTTCCTGATAGTGAGTCTTTACGTAGTTTAGTTTTAGGAGAATGTCATGATGCAACCGGTCATTTTGGCTATAGAAAGACATCAGCGAACTTAATACAGAGATTTTGGTGGCCCTCTATGATGCAAGATGCTAAGAGATACGTTGAAACCTGCCAGGCTTGCCAAAGGGACAAACCCAGGACTCAGGCTCCGCTTGGTTTGATTAAGCCCTTGCCGATTCCTGAAGGACCGGGTCAGAGTGTGTCCATGGATTTCATGGATACTCTTGTGACCAGTAGGTCTGGGAAAAGACACATCTTTGTTATAGTGGATCGCTTTTCTAAGTATGCCAGACTAATCGCTATGCCAGAAAATGCCAAAACTGACTACGTCATCCAACTCTTTATGGATAACTGGGTATGTGACTTCGGTTTGCCCACATCTATTGTTAGTGACAGAGATGTGAGATTCACCAGTGAACTGTGGCAATCAATTGCTGAAAAGATGGGTACCAAGCTCCAAATGACGTCAGGGAATCACCCTGAGTCAAATGGCCAGGCAGAACAGATGAACCGGGTAGTACAACACCTGCTTCGGCATTATATTAAGCCAAGTCAGGATGACTGGGACGAGAAGTTACCTCTCATCGCCAGCCTGTATAACAATGTTGTGCACAGTACTGCTGGTATGACTCCCAACCAACTGCACCTTGGTTGGAAACACAAAACTGCACTTGACTTTCTGCTACCAGAAAGAGAACCCACTGCAGCACCTGGCAGCATAGAGTTTGCTGTCAAATATGATCAGATGCTGCAGCAAGCCGTTGAATATATTAGGAAATCTCAGGATGCAATGATCGCATCTGA